AAAAAGGATGTACACGTGATAAACAAGGCTCCGCCCGCAGGGCAAATAGCATTTTGCACCGTGGAAATGTCTTTTTCGGTGCTTAAATTGAGATTTTTTGGTTTATTCATCAAAAATTGGAAGTTTTTGGCCAAAAATTGTTTGTTTTGTCTTTTAAAATCGTGTTTATCGTTAATTTATCGCTTTTATTTTCTTTTTTAAGCTTCTGCCTTTAGGGTAAATGGCATTTTAGTTTATAAAAATAACTTTTTCAATAGTAAAAAGTAGATTTTTTTGTGGAATTCTCAAATTTCCGTCAAAAAAAAATGATTTTTTCTCTTAAAAATGTCTTTTTACCGGTTTTTAGAGCAATTCCCCTTAGGGGAAATTGTAGTTCAAGCCGGGAAAATACATTTTTTCAATTATTAATTTTAGATTTTTCACTTTTATTTTCAAAAAATCCCAAATTTCCGCTAAAAATCTATTTTTTCCGCCAAAAAATCAAAATTTCCCTTCAAAAATCCCAATTTCCCTCCAAAAAATCCCATTTTTCCTTTTCAAAACCCTTCGGTTTATATTGCTTTAGCTCCTTTAACGCCAATTTTTTGCCTAATCCCGTACAAATTTGTTTTTTTTGTGTCTTTCGGATTAATTTTTGGGTTTATGGGCGTATAAATCACCGTTGAAGCCTTCCCCAACACCAAGGCTGAGCTGACGTTTTCCTCGGAATCTGCAAAGTTTTATGGGTTTCGAGTGTTGTTTGTTTATTTTTGGGCAAATTTGGAACGTTACGGCTGAACGTAGCGTTGCTGTTGAGCCCTTTTTGGGATGGGGTTTGAGGGTTTCCCCTTTGAAGGCTACGTTAGAATGAAAACTTTGATTGGAAAAGGGGATTGAGGAAGTTTTTGGCGACGCAAATTTTTTCGATTCAGTGGTTTGTCTGGGGTGCACGTGCGAGGTTCAAGGTTTTCTTTAAAAGAATGTGTCGTTTTTTGGAGCAATTTTTGGTCGTTTGGGCGGTACAGTAGTTTGGGAAAAAACCAAGGTTAGGGAAGATTAAAAAAGTGGTCATATCAGTCCGTCGGGAAAATAATGGCATTTTTTGCCTTGTTGAAAAAAAGGTGAAACTCAAATTTCTAAGTTGTCGCAATGCACTGATGGACGATTCCAAGGCGCGGCGATCCACCATATTTTTCCGACAGATTGATATGTATGGCTTGGGCAAGTCACCGCCGAGAGTGGCTTTGCCAATCCTCGAGTCAAATGCACTGAAGCACTTTTTTAGCGATTTTCGCGGCAACTCGCCAAAAATAGAAAATCCACACTGTGCAAAATTTTCAGGACCTTTCGTCTTACAGGGGAAGTATAATACTCCAAGTGCGACGCTCAGATTTTGATGAAACTTGGCACAAATTTAGAATAATTTTTTCTAAGATATATGCGAGAATTCTAGCTCGCGCTTTGCAGAAACAACCGAGATTTTTTCGATCAAAAGTCGGCCAAAATTTAGGACTTTTTGCCGAATTTCCGCTCGAAAAGTTTCATGCCTATTTCTACCGTAAAGAATAATGTTTCTACAAAAAATCAAATTTTTCCGCGCGAAACTGCCAAAGTTATGGCCAAAAAGGTGTTTTCTCTCTGACCGCTCTCCACGTTTGGCGCGCTCTCGGCGGCAAAAATCGTTCGATATCTCGGCGGCGCCCGCAAAGCGCGAGCTAAAACTTTCAGGAATTGATATTTAGTCCATACCCGACGTGTGTACAAAATCTAAAGAAAATCTGAGTGTCACACTTGGAGTACTTCCCCTGTTAGGTAATACGGTAAATAAGGCTAAATACGGCTTCGCCAAGTCTCCGCCGAGCGCTTCCCGAGAGCCCAGAAAGCTTGCAAATGCCTTCTCAAGATACTGAGCACCTCCACTACGTTTTTTCAAAAAGTACGCAGATTTTTTTGCGGCACATTTTGTCTTTTTTTTGCAAAGCGCAACAGTGAATGAGTTAGTGAGAAAAGAAGCCGAGGCCAATTAAAACCATTTTATTTTTGTGGAAAAGATGGCTTATGCCTTAAAAATTTTTTTAACCTTGAGTCATCGTTCTTCAAAATTTCAGCGCCCTTTACCGCAACCTTTCAAAATCGGCCAGTTAAAAGCGAAAAATTAAATTTTGAACTTTTTCCTCGCTCCAACCATAAATTTCCCTGCCATTTCCCCCAAATTCCAGCAAAATCTCGGCTCTTCTTCCACTTTACAACTCCTCGAATTTTCGATTAGCCCATGGAAGGGGGGAATCAGCGAAATACAAAAGCAATTATGGCAGCCATAACGATTTCCGCGACCCCTCTTCCTTTGACGTCATCAGAGAACTTTTTTCCGTGTTGCTCGCGGAGAAGGGTCATTGTCAGTGTGGGGAAGATGGATCGGGCTTGCCGAAGGTTACTTCAGGTTGCTCTCGTTTAGCTTGTCAATAGATTTTTATCACCTTGTCGGGAAAATAATGTGGATTTGTCGTTGGAATTGCCTATCATTGCTTTGCGACGGCTTGTCGCGGCTGGAGATCTGGTGGGCGACCGCGAAAAGGAAAAATTTTTTTTGCGACAAATCCATATTATTTTCCCGACAGGCCGATATCCAATATTTTCTTTTTCCAATATCGGCCTGTCGGGAAAATAATGTGGACCCTGTTATTCGACCTTAGAATCGCTTATCATCGCTTTGCGACGGCTCGTCGCGGCGAGTGGGGATTTGATTTGCTGCTGCGACAAAGCGAAAAACTTTTTTACAAGTCCGCATTATTTTCCCGACAAACTGATACCAGGCGTTAGGTTTTTGACATTTTTGACATGGCTGCACGGTGCGATTGTCGCATCTCCCCAAACGGCGGTGAAATAAAATTCACAGTGCTCCACGATTAAGCACGGGGCAAAACGAACCCTCTCGAAAAGGCAATCGACGATTCTGTCGCGCGAGGAAACTGCACAGTGCGTTTTTCATTGGTTCCAAAAACTGCACAGTGCGTTTTTCACTGGTTCCAAAAACTGCACAGTGCGTTTTCAAATCGCATTGGAAACTGCACGGTGCTTTTTTTGCATGCCGCAGAAATTGCACAGTGCTTTTTATACTTGCTTCAGAAGCCGCACAGGGCATTTTTCATTTACTTCAGAAACTGCACAGTGCATTTTTCATTGGCTCCAAAAACTGCACAGTGCGTTTTTGATTCGCGTCAGAAACTGCACAGTGCTTTTTTTACTTGCTTCAGAAGCCGCACGGTGTGTTTTTCATTTACTTCAGAAACTGCACAGTGCTTTTTTTACTTGCTTCAGAAGCCGCACAGTGCATTTTTCATTTACTTCAGAAACTGCACAGTGCGTTTTTCATTGGTTCCAAAAACTGCACAGTGCGTTTTTCATAGGCTCCAAACTCTGCACTGTGCTTTTTTCATTGGTTCCAAAAACTGCACAGTGCGTTTCTTATAGGATCCAAACACTGCACAGTGCGTTTTTCATTGGTTCCAAAAACTGCACAGTGCGTTTTTCATTGGTTCCAAAAACTGCACAGTGCATTCTTAAATCGCATTGGAAACTGCACGGTGCTTTTTTCACATGCCCCATAAATTGCACAGTGCTTTTTATACTTGCTTCAGAAGCCGCACAGTGCATTTTTCATTTACTTCAGAAACTGCACAGTGCATTTTTCACTAGGATTAATAACTCCACTCTGCGTTTTCACTTACATTAGAAAATGAACAGTGCGTGTTTTATTTGCATTATGTCGAACGCTCAGTGCAAAAAAATGTCAAGAATTTTCAATCTGTTTAGTTTTTACGTGAAGACGAAGCTGGGGGATGATGTATTTGCACTTTGAAAGGGGTTAATAGGTGAGATCGGAGCGGTTTTTATGATGATTGGAAGCAAGTGGTTGGGGTTGGAAATAAGGTTTTGGCGCTACGTCAATTTCTCTCGCTAGGGAAGACCTTTTTTGTAATCAGAATTGGATGAAAGTCGGCTAAAATTTAAAAAAAAAAATGTTTTGCAAAAACTTCTTCCATCGCGTATTTTAAAAACATTTCTTTTTTTATAACTTTCCCATCAGTCTGTCGGGAAAATAATGTGGATTTGTCGCGTTTTGCGACGGCTCGCCGTGGCTGGAGATTTGACGAGCGACGATATTTTACTGCGACAAATCCACATTATTTTCCCGACAGACTGATATGTCCATGAACTTTATGAAAAAATCTATATATATTTCAGTATGTTGGGAAAATAATGTGCACTCTGTCGCAGCGAAAACCGCATCGCCGACGAGAAAATGAATCGTATCGCGACAAAATCAAATTTTCCTTTTTACACAAATCCACTCAAAGAGACTGAGAAAACTTTAGTGATTTTAGGTGATCAGAAAGTTTTGTCCACCAATTTTTGAAAAAACCTGCATAACTCGCCTAAGGACAGAGACACGAAAAACAATTTTATGTGGCACATTCTGTCTGTCATGACTCGTATACATGCCAAGTTTCAAAGCGATTGCGTTATATTGACTTGAGATATGGGTGGTCAGAAATTTATGTCCGGGAGTATATATGTCAGTCTGTCGGGAAAATAATGTGGACTTGTCGCATCGATGATTAAAATGAATGAAAAAATACTGCGACAAATCCACATTATTTTCCCGACAGACCGATAATAATACATCAGTCTGTCGGGAAAATAATGAGGACTTGTCGTATCAATGTCTAAAATGAATGAAAAAAAATATTGTGACAAATCCACATTATTTTACCGACAAGCTTTTTCTAATTACAAATACTTCCATTGTGACGCTTGCAAGGCCAATTTTTGCACACATTCCTTTCATTGTATGTGTATTGCAAAACACACGTCAGAACTTCAGGAATTCCCCCTTTACAATTCCCGACTTCCGTAACTCTTTCAATTCGTGTCGCGTGAATCAGCCTCTGATCTGCATGCTTCCCAATTTTAATCTCCAAATTTTCCCTTTTTCACCTTCCTTTTTCGTGCTTTCAGAGATGGCCCAACTCCTTTTCGGGGCCCTGTTTCTCTTGCTGTTGGGCCGCCTCGACGCCGGCTTCACCGCCGGCGTCGACGATCCCACCGCGTGGAGCAATCGACGCGTCTCCTGGCAGCCCATCGAGAGCTATGAGGAGGAGGTGGCGAGGCTGAGGCAGAGCCAGGACCAATGCGATCCCGCGAAACCCTGCAAGGACGGGTTGATTCTGCCTGTGTGGAGTCCGGTGGTAAGTTTGGGGATTTGAAACGGTGATTTTGGAAAAATTGGGGAAATGGGGGTATCAGATTGTCGGGGAAATAGTGAGGTTTCAGTTTGTCGGGAAAATAATGGGGTTGAAGTTTTTCTAAAAAAATAGTGAGGAATTAGTCTGTCGGGAAAATAATGAGGTTTTCAGTTTGTCGGAAAAATGGGGTATCAGATTGTCGGGAAAATAATGGAGTTTCAGTTTGTCGGGAAAATAATGGGGAATCAATTTATCAGGAAAATAACGAGGTTTTAGTTTGTCGAAAAAATAATGGGGTATCAGATTGTCGGGAAAATAATGGAGTTTCAGTTTGTCGGGAAAATAATGGGGTTGAAGTTTTTCTAAAAAAATAGTGAGGAATTAGTCTGTCGGGAAAATAATGAGGTTTTCAGTTTGTCGGAAAAAATGGGGTATCAGATTGTCGGGAAAATAATGGAGTTTTAGTTTGTCGGGAAAATAATGGGGTTTCAGTTTGTCGAAAAAATGATGGGATATCAGATTGTCGGGAAAATAATGGAGTTTCAGTTTGTCGGGAAAATAATAGGGTTGAAGTTTGTCGAAAAAATAGTCAGGAATTAGTCCGTCGGGAAAATAATGGGGTTCAATTTGTCGAAAAAATAGTGAGGTTTCAGTTTGTCGGGAAAATAATGAGCACAATTTCGCTCAGCCGATCGTATCGATAAAGTGAAAAGAAATTTGATTTTTCCGTGACAAAATTCATTTTCTCGGCGGCGATGTTATTTTCGATGCGACAGAATGAATCCTTATTATTTTCCCGACAGTCTGCTACGACGCTTTTCCTGAAATGGTAGAAATCGCCGCGATATAAGATTTTTTTCAACTGGCGCGCAACTGACTATAGCATAGTCAAAGAAGAAGTAAAATGCACTGTAAACCGCGAAAAAAAGGTCTACGAAATTTATTTAAATACTAGCATTTTTCAATCGCTGAAAGTGTCAGCTGGCGCTTTGCAAAGGTGACCGAGATTTTTAAGTCGAAAGTTAGCGAAAATGCGAAATTTTTTTTCCATTCTATTTTTTCAAAAAAAAGTGAGGAAAGCGTTTTTAACGCCTTGCTTCGGAACGACCGGTGCGATCTTATTTCTTCACTCTTATATGGCCAAAAAAGCCCTTTTTCTGACCGCTCTCCGCATTTTTTTGCCTTTCTTCGCCGCAAAAATCGTTGAATATCTCAGCTGCGCCTGCAAAGCGCGAGTTAAAACTTTCAGCATATGATATGCAACCCATCCACAACTTTTGCCCAAAATTTGAAAAAATTTGAGCGCCGCACTTCTTCCACCTCCTCAGTTAATTTTCCTCGTTTTTCAGGACGGAATCACCTGGTACACGCGCTTCTTCCGCGCCGCCATCTACCTGCTCGCCATGATCTACCTGTTCATGGGGGTCTCCATAGTGGCGGACCGCTTCATGGCGGCGATCGAAGTCATCACGTCGCACGAGCGCGAAGTTGTCGTCAAAAAATATAACGGCGAAAAAACCACAATCCTCGTTCGGGTATGGAACGAGACCGTCTCCAACTTAACGTTGATGGCGTTGGGCTCATCGGCCCCCGAAATTCTCCTTTCGATCATCGAAATTGTCGGAAACGGCTTCGAAGCCGGCGATCTGGGACCGGGCACGATTGTCGGGTCGGCGGCGTTCAACTTGTACATCATTATTGCGGTCTGTATGGTCAGTGTGCCCACCGGGCAGATTCGGAAAATCGAACGAAATGATGTGTTTTATGTGACCGTGGTCTGGTCGACGTTCGCCTACATCTGGCTCTACCTGATTTTGGCTGTTTTCTCGCCGAATGTCGTGGAGGTGAGGGAAAAAAATAAAAAAAACTATTTTTTGACAAAAAAATCAAAAAAAAAAAAAAAAAAAAAATTTTGACAAAAAAAAATCAAAAAAAATTTTTTTTTGACAATTCTACCTTTTAAAGTCATCAAAATTTTGTATTTTTCCAATTATTAGTATTTTCAAAAAGTGCGTAGACTTTTTGTCGCGAAGCTTTTCGCACCGTGCAGTTCATTTTTTCCAAGTTTGTGCACTGTGCGTTTCATTTTTTTCTCAAGTTTTCGCACCGTGCATTCGTCAAAACATCGCCGAAGCAATCCTTTTCCAACGACGCCGCTGCGATTTCTTCCTAATCATCCGCACAGTGCAAACCTCTTTTTCCAGTTTTCACTGTGCGAAAACAGCAAAATGCACGGTGCGTGAGCGACAATGGAAAAAAAACAAAAATGCACTGTGCATTCGCGAAAAAAAGGCAAAAAATGTCTACGCACTTTTTGAAAAAGCATAATGAAACTTGTCATAAAGTGCATGGACATTTTTTCCCTTTGCACAGTGCATTTTGAACCTTTTCCCAGGCTTGTCGCTCATGCACAGTGCATTTTCAAATCACTTTTTTTGCACAGTGCAGACCTCAAAAAAGTTGTTTGCACTGTGCAGACATTTTGTTTGCTTTTGCACAGTGCATTTTGAACCTTTTCCCACGCTTGTCGCCGACGCACGGTGCATTTTTAAACCACTTTTTTCGCACAGTGCAAACCTCCAAAAGAGCCGTTTGCACTGTGCAAATTCCTGGCGATGTCGCAGCGATATTTTCACGCACAGTGCGAAAACAAAAAAAAATGAGATGCACGGTGCAAAACGAGGGCTTTTTGTGGACAGTGCAGGCCGCGATAAAATGTCCACGCACTTTATAAAAACATTATTATCACTCTGTCGGGAAAATAATTGTTTGTCAGTTCGTCTGGGAAATAATAGGGTATTATTCTGTCGGGAAAATAATGAGCATTCTGTTGCTGCGTCAATCGCGTCGCCGAAGTGAAAAGCAATTTTACCTTTCCGCGACACAATTCATTTTCTCGGCGGCGATGCGATTTTTTGCTGCAAAAAATACACATTATTTTCCCGACAGACTGTTATTCTTCTTCTTCATGCACGATTCATTTTTTCGATGCGCCAGAATGCTCATTATTTTCCCGGCAGACTAATAATCTATAGCATTATATTTTGCTTCAGGTCTGGGAAGGAGTTCTCACATTTGTATTCTTCTTCCTGACGGTGATCAACGCTTACATTGCCAACCGTTATGCACCTTCATTGGGGCAGAAGATCCTCGGAAAAGCGCCGGTCAGCTTCCGCCATCAACATACGACCGCCAAAGGGCCAAAGGAAAAAGTGCCGGGAATCGGCGGGCTTGGTCAGACCACCGATCTGGAGGCCGCGTAAGCTTTTCTGTTCTGTTTTTGACCCTATTATCATCTCTTTCAGTGAAGCCTTGATGAGCGAGGAAGCCCATCCGCACATGGACGCGTTCGTCGAGCATCGCCGTCGCTTCTACGACACCTTCACCGAGATCCGCACCAAGCATCCGGACATGCCGTTGCAGGAGGTGGCAAGGCTGACGGCGATCAAGACAGTCAAAAAAGAGCCGAAGAGCAGAGCATTCCGCCGGATCCAGGCGACCCGAGGACTCAGCGGAGGGAAGCTGAAGAAGCCAGCGATTGATTTGATCCCATCTGTAACCACCTACACGTTGGTGGACCCTAGTAATGATGCTAATGAACCGGTGGTCAAGTCGAACAATCCGGAGGTCACTGTTTAGTAAGTTGCTTGGCAAGTCTTTAAAGAAACGTGAAGGAAAGTCGGAGGCTATAAGTTCCGGCGGAGGCGGCGTAGAGACTTCGGTTTTTGGAGTATGTCTTTTTTAGCGACATTAATTTTTGCCTATGAAATAACAAGGCTGAAAAGTGCAAAATGATGTCCCTGCGACCTTTTCATGTAGGCCACTTTTACCCCGAAAACAAGAAGTGTCTTTATCATTGCTTGCAACTTAACAGTTGAAACACAGTGGGGGACCTGATCCAGTGGCAAAAAACGTACCATTTTGCATCCGGGTAGTATCAAAAATGTGGCAAAATGCTTCTCTTTCCAAGTGAAAAAACTTCGTCTTGAAGGGCGTGCACGTCAAACTGGGGAGTCCGGTGACCGGAATAGACCCTTCGCTATCGGTTTTTTACATTTCGTCTTGATTTCACGGAGAAGTCAGAGAAAAAGACGCGCAAAAGCGTACTCTCTCGCCCCAAAAAATCCCCATTTCTTCCCCGATTAAAAGTTTTTTGGGGTCTCTTTTGGCGGATTGCCAACGTACTCACCGGATCGTTTGAGCCTATTTCAGTTTGACGTGCGTGCCCTTTTCCTCACAAAGAGAGTGGGCGCGCTTTTGAAACCGGAGTTCTTTTCACTTGGAGAGAGAGGTATTTTGCCACATTTTTGATACTTCCCGGATGCAAAATGTACATGTTATTGTAATCAATAATCATACCGTTTTCTTACCGGGTTTTCTTTAGTTTCCAACCCTGTCATATCATTTGTGTCGAGGACGTTGGAACTGTCAAAGTCACGGCTCATGTTGACCGAGGAAACATTCAACAGCCATGTGTGGTCACTGTCCATTATAGGACGATTGAAGGGTCGGCCAAAGAGCATAGCGATTATGTCCCGAGAACTGGGGAATTGACTTTTGAGCCGTTCGAAAATAAGTGAGTGTTGAACATATAATATTTTTTTTAAAAGAAGGCGGTATTTGGATTGAAGTTTATATCATCAGATTGTCGGGAAAATAATGAGCTTCTGTCGCATCCAAAATCGCATTGCCGCCGAGAAAATAAATTGTGTCGCGGCAAAATCGAATTGCTTTTCACTTCAGCGACACGATCGACATTTTGCTCTTTATTTTCCCGACAATCCATTATACGCTGTTTTTTTGATTTGCTAAGATTTTTGGTGAAGTCGAATTGCAGTTCCAGAAAAGTACTACGCTTTTCCAGAAGTGCGTAGTCTTTTTGTTCCAAACCGTGCATTTTACCTGTTACACTGTGCAGTTTAAAAAAGGCTTACGGCGCGGCAATATTTCGGTTGAACAGTGCAAACTGCCGGATGCACAGTGCAAATGAGGTTTTCTGTATTATGCGGCGCGACGAAAGGCCTACACACTTTTGAAAAAGCATAGTACTACTCATTTCATAAAGTGCACAGGCTTTTTACCGCAAGGTTTTTTTGCACTGTGCATTTTGCTTTGCACTGTGCAATTCTTATCTCTCCGCGACAAAAACCTTTTTCTGCAAAAAACAAAAAAAAAATGCACGACAAGGATTTTTTAAAAAAGCGCAGCGTCCGTTTGTCGGGAAAATAATGAGCACAGTATCTCTGTGCCAATCGTGTCGCTGAAGTGAAAAGCAATTTGATTTTGTCTTCATTTTCTCGACGCTGTTTCGATAGTTTCTCCTTCCAGAAAAGACATAGAAATCGAGATTGTGGACCGTGATGACTACGAGAACGACGAAGAGTTCTATGTCCAACTCTACGAGCCAAAAGCGCACCACCAGGACGACCACAACATCACGTACAAGGCCACTGTTGGCGCTGCATTCGAGGCGACCGTAATCATCGTGGACGACGATCACGGCGGCTGTTTCACGTTCAAATCGGAGGTGTTGAAGCTGAAGGAGAGCTGCGGGTACGCCTATTTGACGGTGAATCGGACGAGAGGCGCGCGCGGAAGGGTGACGCTGCCGTTCAAGGTGACGGACGGGTCCGCGAAACGCGGCAAGGACTACGAATGCGGTGACGCCGAGCTGGTCTTTGAGGACAAACAGACAAGGTAGGGGCTATCTATAATGGGGGACCTGACCCAGTGGTAAAAAATGTGTCATTTTGCATCCGGGAAGTATCAAAAATGTGGCAAAATACCTCCCTCTAACTAAAAAAAACTCCGTTTTTAAACACCTTTACCCTCAAAAAAAGGAGACGTTTTTAAAATGGGAGTTTTTTCACTTGGAGAGGGAGGTATTTTGCCACATTTTTTATACTTCCCGGATGCAAAATGGCACGTTTTTGGCCAATGGATCAGGTCCGCCACGGTATAAATAAACAGCAAAGACATAACAAAAAAAAGAAACGAAAATTGGACACCAATTTCAGTGCCGACATTCGAATTCAAATCTTCAATGACGATGAGTACGAGAAGAACGAAGACTTTTACATCCAGCTGGGACAGCCGGTTTGGCACAAGGAGAATCAAATCGGGGAAGATGGAGCGGACGGAAGACCCATTCTTGGCGATCATACCAGATGCAAGGTCGTCATCATTGAGGATGATCAGTTGAAGGTGCGTATATTTTGGCCTTTTATTCATTATTTAATCATTAAATAGTTTGTCAGCAAAATAATAAGCGCAATGTCGCTGCGCCGATCGCATCGCTGAAGTGAAAAGAAATTTGATTTTGCCGCGACACAATTCATTTTTTCGCCGGCGATGCGATTTTCGACGAGACAGAGTCCTCATTATTTTCTCGACAGACTGATTCGAGTCTTTTCAATAAAGTGCATAGACTTTTCGTCGCTTAGCACAGTGCAAACAGAAGAAAAATGCAATGTGTGCAGAAAAAAAAGTCTACGCACTTTCTGGAACGCCTAGTATCAGTCTGTCGGGAAAATAATGAGCACATGCGCGAGTCTGTTTGCCAAGCTGTTGAAGTGATTTCTGCAACATGCAATGCCCAAGAAAGGTCAAGGCGACAGCCCAAAAAAGCCTGGTCGCGGTTGCCACATAGCACTAGTCGTTTCAGAAAGTTCGTAGACTTTTTCGGCCTTTTCTCGCACCGCACAATGCATGTTGCGCAACGGGATTTTTATCGAAGCATTTTGCACAGTGCAATTTCTCGTACACCTAAAATTCGGGCCGATTCCGTTAAAAAAGCTTGTGTCGCTGCGATATTCCACTTGTACGGTGCAAAGGTTCAAATGCACGTCGCAAGAAAGGATTTTGTGCACGGTGCGGTCCTCGAAAAAAGTCTAAAAAAGTCTACGCACTTTAAACAAAAAAAAAATTTCACTTACTGTCAATAGAAGAATGAGTAAATAGGCCTCCCGGCAGTGAAAAATTACAAAATCTCACAATACTTAACCCCATTTTTTCAGAGTATTGTGGACAAAGCGATCAAGCACACAACTTCCTCAATTATGGTCGGGACTTCGTCCTGGAAGCAGCAGTTTAGAGATGCGTTCGAAGTGAATGCCGACGACGATGACGATGGGGATGACGAGGACTCCGATGAGAAGAAACAAATTGTGAAAGCGGAGAGAGAGCCGACCACATTCCAACTGGTCATGCACTATTTGAATTTGCCGTGGAAAATTCTGTTTGCCACTATTCCTCCGACCGATTACATGAATGGTAAGGGAAGTTTTTGATGACATATCTGTCGGGAAAATAATGTGGATTTGCCGCAATTTTTTTTTTTATTTTTGATATAATATTTCCAGGCTGGATTTGTTTCATCGTATCCATCATTTTTATCGGCCTTCTGACAGCTGTGATTGGCGATGTCGCTTCAATGTTTGGTTGCACGATTGGATTAAAAGATGTGGTTACTGCGATTACTTTGGTTGCTGTCGGCACCAGTGTTCCAGGTAAAGGAGTTTGATGTTTTTTATATAAAATACTGTAGAACTTGTGTATGCATACACACTATTTTTGCTCCCTTGCAAACCATAGTGCAAACCCCATGTTCCACCGTGCATTTCACATTTTGCACTGTGAAACCGAAATATCGCTCGGCGGAGGGCATTTTGTACTGTGCCGCCTTTCTGAAGCGATTGAACACGGCTTGTACGGTGCAAAAAGAAGCAAAATGCACAGTGGGAAACGATTTGACAACGGTTTTCACGGTGCAAAACGATTCGAGAAAATTTGCACGGTGCAAAAAAAAGTAAAGTGCACAGTGCAAGATGACTTGAAAAAGGATTTGCACTGTGCGGAAAAGAGGCAAAATGCACTGTGCAAAAATTTCGGAAGGCCCGCACCGTAAAAAAACGCAAATTGCAGTGTGCGCCGCGACAAAGACAAGTGACAAACCGCACCGTGCAAAGCGACTTGAAAACAGTCTGCACGGTGCGAAAAAGGCAAAATGCACAGTGCAAGACGATTCGAAAAAAATTTGCACGGTGCAAAAAGGGTCACCATGCACTGTGCAAAAAATGTAAAATCCTCAATGAAAAATGATTCAAAACGAACTTGCACGGTGCAAAAAGAGGCAAAATGTACTGTGCAAAATGATTAAAAAAATTGCACTGTGCCAAAAAAAGATAAAATGCACTGTGCAAAAACGATTCGAAAGAAAATTTGCACGGTGCAAAATGCCTCAGAAAGAGAATAGTTTGCACCGTGCAAAATGATTCGAAAAAGATATGCATGGTGCAAAAAAAGTAAAATGCACTGTGCGAAATTATTCAAAAACGGTTTGCACGGTGCAAAAAAAGTAAAATGCACTGTGCCAAACGACTCAAAAAGGGAATGGTTTCCAATGTGCAAAAAACGAAAAAATGTGAATCAACATCTACATCTTCTTTTTTTCAGACCTCTTTGCCTCCAAACTGGCCACTCAACAAGATCCCACGGCCGACGCCGCCATTGGCAATGTGACCGGCTCCAACGCCGTGAACGTTTTCCTGGGCATCGGGATCGCGTGGGCGATGGCCGCCATCTTCCATTGGTACAAGGGCACCGTGTTCCGGGTGCAAGCCGGCTCGCTGGGCACGTCGGTGATCATCTTCTTGCTCGGCTCCGTGATCTGCATCGGAGTTTTGGCGCTGCGGCGCAAAAACGCGAAAATCCGCGGGGAATTGGGCGGGCCGAATCGGCTGAAGTACGCGTCCGCCGCCCTGTTCGTCGCCCTCTGGCTGGGCTACGTGCTGATCAACTCGTTGAGCGCATATTGCTTACTGCCGTTCTAGAGGGGAACGTGTGTGTCAGAAATCTCATTCTCATCATTTCCTATCCTTGTTTTCTTCGCAGAATTTTATTTTTTTTTTTAAATATTTTTTTTTATATATCAGTATTCCGTCCACTCAAGGGCAGATTGAGGATTTATAATTGTGATTAATAAACTAATTTTATTTTGGAAAAATTTTTTAAAGTTTGTCGGGAAAATAATGTGGATTTGGCAAGCCGTCGCAAAGCACTTATGGTAACTCCAAAATATTTTTTTTTGAAAAAAATTCAAACAAAAAATTTTTTTTTAATTTTCAAAAATTTGCATAAAATCATCGATTTGCTCTTTTCCCCCCAAATTTCTTTCTAAAATTCTGTTATTTTTCATCTTTTCCCATTTCTCGATCGGTGGTAGCCGTCGAGTTTCTGCACTGCGTTCAGCGGATACCCATTACAGTGTCAATCAAAATGCTTTCGTGGCTAATCCGTAAGCTCTTCTAACCAGTTCGCAAAGTCTCGGGATTTTTTTGCAAATCGCGGCAGCCCCTGAAAAGCTCAAGCTAAAAATGTTACAATATTTGGTTGAAAATCTTTGTTTCTTTCTCAGAAATTTTTACTTTGCTAAGCGAGGCTTTAGTGAGTCGAGAATACATTTTTGAGGTCAAAGCGAAATATTTTCACTTTTCCGTTCATGAAGTCGCTGAAGTGATTTTTTGAAGGTTGCAGAATGCAAAAAAAGTCAGAGTTCGAGCGACATCGCAACGACCCAAAAAGGTCTATTGCACGGTGCGAAAAGCAAAAATTGCACAGCGCAGAGGGAACTTCTCTCTTCGCGCAGTGCATGTCCCAGACATGACTCCAGCGACTTTGCGGACGGACCATTAGCATTTTCACAAAGTACCTGGACATTTGTCGCGGCGCTCACTGCGCACAAAAGCCCCCCATTTTTTGCACCGTGCATTAAACTTTTCGTCAGCAATTTTTCTTGCAAGGAATATCATGCTTAGGCTTAGCCTCAGGCTTAGGCAGGTTAAGCTGTTTTTATTCGCAGTCTGCAGGGAAGCCAGGGCGCAGGCGGGGCCAGAAAAAGGAAGTTTTTCGGAAAAATTCAAAATGCACTGTGCGAAAGCGAAAAAATAGCACTTTGTGAAAATGCTAATATCGGTCTGTCGGGAAAAAACGGCGGATCGTCGCGCCTCGGAATCGCCCATCATCGCTTTGCGACTGCAAGCGGCGGCTTGGGATTTGGTGCGCGACAGCGGCGAGGCGAGACATTTTGATGCGACGATCCGCCGTTATTTTTCCGACAGACTGATATTAGTCTCAAGAAAAGTTTTAAACTTGATTTTTTCAATTTCAGAAGCAACAGACTCCCTGAATCCGGCGGTTTTCTGGATTCTGGGCCTACAAATTGGTCTCCAGCTGGCGCTGATTTGTTGTTTGAAGAGGTCCGGAGAGATGAAACATGGGTCCGATCACTATTCAAACGGCACACAGTCATCGGAAGTGAAGCCTGTAAGCCTGTGTTTTCTCTGTTTTTGGTGTCAAAACTTTTTTTTGAGGCTTCGGATACAATTTTTTTCGAGCTGCGCCCTAGTTTAGGTTGAAATTGGATTAATAAAGTTTTTTATGTGTTGTAGAACGTCTGAAACTTACTTTTACACCGTTTTAAATTCATTTTTTTCAAAAACAATTTTTTTTCAGACCCTCGAAACAAAAACGTCCACAGGCACTTCGGGCAGTGAGCAACCGAAAGCAACACAACCGTCTTCGGATAGCGTCGAACCGAGGCGACGGTCCGCGCAAGGACCGAGCAAAATTCAACGGAGAAGTTCGAAGAGGGGCGTGAAACAGATGATAATCGAAAAGAGCTTGAGGAAGAAGAATATCATTACCAACAAGGCGCCGGCACCGAAAAATCGGTTAGTTTTTGGGGGTGATTTGGGTGCTGTGACATGGGATTAGCATTTTAATAAAGTCTACGGACTTTTGTCGCACCCCGCACCATGCCAAAAATTTTGCGAGTTCTTGCACCGTGCATTTTATATTTTCTTGGAGTTTGCACTGTGCATTTGAAACATCGCTGCGACGTAAACTTTTTTCAGCTGCGCCGCTGCGGTTTTTGCTCACAAGGAAAGTACTTCTATGGGGTATGGAGTTACAGGTCGAGTCATATATCAAAAAATTCGCAAAATTTTTCTGGTTCAGAATATGTAAAAATTAGCTGCCTAATTTTGGTTTCTTAAGGTGGGCATTTGCGTGGTGTTTCAAAAAAAGTTCCGAGGGTTTTTACACCCTTACAGGGTGATTCAAAAAAAATGGACACTTTTCTTTCTTCGATTTTTCTTGGCTTTGAATGTTTCTGGTAAAAAGGTACACATGGCATAAAACTACTACGTTATGTGTACATATTCATTGCAAAAATTGTTCACTAGCTGCAAAAGTTGCCGAGACATGGTTGCTTAAAAATTGCCGGGCCAGCGCACCCGTTCCCGCGGCGAAATTTACAAAGTTTTCGCTCATAAATATCTGAAAGGTGTAACAGAGACGTTCTGATCGGTCTGAGCGAAACATAGACGCCTATTCTCTAGGACCTTTTAAGGATTTAATCCAGGTCTTCCAGACAATGAAAAACCAGAGGCCAAAAATTAGACAACTAGCGAGGGAAAATCAACGCTCATTTGGGCGCTTTTTGAAAAACTTAGCTCTGCCAAACGTGGTAAAAGTTTTAGAACCAATTCCATTTATACCACGTTTACTGCTCTATTGTGACTATATTAAACGCCTTTTTAACAATCGTACCTCAATTAGCAAAACTGCAAACAAAATTCTGACTTTTTTTGACTTTTGATGGGTTATCGCAATGGTACGCGGATTCTGAAGGCTAGGTTTGTTCAAATTAACGGAGATTAATTTAAAATTGAAGAACGGACTTATATGACTATCGTATAAATGCAGCCTGTCGTAGTTGTCCGGCTTGTTGAAGAACGCCAACAAAAAAGTAAAATTTTTCTGGTCAAAAAATATCAGCGTCTCTGGGTATAGCCGGCTAAACTTTTATAAGCACAGTACATGGCTAATGCAAGCTACAATCAAATCAACTGCTGACCCATGTAAAGCAATGTTAGATGTCTTACAGGAATCACTTTTCGCCGTTATTAGCACAAGCCAGGCCGCCCTGCTAAGTTTTGAATCCCGATCATCCCAAAAATCCAGAACTATGTGGATGGGTCTCTTATGGATCACGTTGGGAATTGCTGGAGCGTTATTAATATAATAATACCAGCGTTTTCCCTTCTCTAGATTCCCCTTAGTATCGTAATAAACATTCAACACGCAGTTTTTAGCTGGCTGTAAGAATTCAGGCCGTTAAAGTTTTTTGGACCTACAAAATTCTTGGAAAATGTGGTCAGAATATGGGCTGACCTAGTATTTTGCCTCGTACACGCCGTTCAGCAAAAATATTTCAAAAATTGAAACGGGTGTCATGAAGCAGGATCGTTGACAATTATAAAACTATTTTTCTTTCCACCGACTGCGGTATTCGTGGTGGGATAAACCGACTTCAAAATTTGTCCATTTTTTTTGAATCACCCTGTACAAACCTAAATTAGGCAGCTAATTTTTACATATTTTGAATCAGAAAAATTTTGCGAATTTTTTGATATTACGCTTTTTCAAAAGTGCAGACACACCTTTTTTGCAACCGCACCGTGCATGTTGCGCGACGCGGTCGTTTACGAAACATTTCGCACTGTGCAATTTCTTTTTGCACGCCCAAAATTCGCGGCGACTCAGTTGAGAAAAGCTTGAGTCGCAGCGATATCCGATTGCACAGTGCAAAAGGTCAAATGCACCCCGCAAAACGGAGGTTTGTGCACGGTGCGGCCCACGACAAAATGTGTCTGCACTTTTGAAAAAGCGTAATATGTATATGACTCGACCTGTAACTCCATACCCCATAGAAGTACTTTCCTTGTCAAAAATTTGCACAGTGCAAGCGGCCTTTTGTGAGCGTTGCACTGTGCGAAAAGAGCAAATGCACTGTGCGTTTGCGACAAGTGGGGGGAGAAAATTCAAAATGCACTGTGCACACGGAGGGAATTGCCTTGCATTGCACTGTGCATTTCATCTTTTTTTGGGTTGCACTGTGCGGCGGAAAAAATTTTTTTGCCCCTGGAATCTGCTTTTTTTGTCGCGCCTAGAGGTGGCAATCGGGCTGGGCCGCGACTTTCGGCCCAGCCCGGCTCGGAAGGTGGAAAAGTAAAAATTTTTTATACATATTAAACTAGCAAAATAAAGCACAAATGCTTTGCAGAATTGATGGATGGATATTAAATTAAACCTTTTTGACCTATATGCTGTTTTACTACCTTTTAAAATTCCTTAAAATCCCTGATTACGTATATGTAAAATGCCATCTAAATATGCAAGGGTCGGGCGAAAATCTTCGAATTTTTGATGATAAACTTAAACATTTCACTGTAATTTGATGACTTGATGTAAACGAAAGTGTTTAAGACGTTTTTGATTAAACATGTTGCCTTATAACGTCCATATTTTTACATAGCTAACTTCCTAAAATCGACACAATCAAACTTTTTGGCTAGGTTTTAGGTCCCTGCTCGGCTGTCCTAGTCATCCGACCAGACGTTTTAATTTTACTTATACACACTTATAAACCTTCTGGAAAGCATAAAAACTTCCAATAGAAAATGCAAAGACTTTCATCCAACCTTTTTGTATTAGCGGGCCAAACAGGGCCGGGCCGGGCCGGCCTGGGTTTTCACCGGGCCGGGCCGGGCCTAAGCAAATTTGAAAAAGCCCAGGGCCGGCCTGGTCACTTCGGCCGGCGGGCCGGGCCGCAGAAATCGGCCCGGCCCGGCCCGATTGCCACCTCTAGTCGCGCCCCGCATCGTGCACAAAAAACTCCTCTTGTGCCAAAAATGCTGCGTAGGTTAAATTGGCCCTTCAAATTCCAGGTTTTGTAACATTTTTTTATTTATTTCTTTATTTCTTGGCATTTTACAGGGTGACAAAGAAAAAATGCAACTCATATTTATGGCCATATTTTGTCTAAAACACCAAACTTAACCAAAGTAACGGTGAATATCAGTAACATAGAGCATTGTTAATAGTATGCTCGGCCAGTTTTAAGGTGGCTGTTCTTCGCCCCGAGATAGAGCTCAAAACGTGACTTTAAATTTTGGCCGATTCGCCGAAGCTTTTTTTGGGGAAATCGGTCCCGTTCTTACAGTAACGATCAATTAGCGACTCCAAACTTTTTTGGCGTGAACTAGAGGTCCTGACTTCTAACTAAACAAAAAACATAATCCACCGGATTCAGATCCAGCGAGTAGGCGGTCATTTTGCAGACCACATAAAATCGGGAAAACAGGTCCTTTCCTGGCCTTGCGTCTTTTTTGCTTTATGGATGATGGCGGAATCCTGCTACGGTGTCTGTTTTGAACCGCCAAAGTGCTACTGAGCCCACGGAATCACGATGGTGTACAAAATGTCGCTGGTAGACTTGTCGGTTTGGTTCTGACCCCTTTATCCAAGAAAACCAAGGAAAACCAAGGATATCACGCCGCTGGCGCAAGACTTTGCCCCAGGCCATGAGAGGTCGGATTTTTACTGGGTTCAAAAATGGCGGATGGTTTTTGACTCTCAACAGTCCAACTCCTGCAATTCTGGTGGTTGTAGGCCTGCACGATGTTGAAATATTTCTCATCCGCGAACAGGACCTTCTCTCATCGCTGAGCTGCGGCGCGACGGTTGAGTTTTCAACATTTTTTGAGCCGTACTTGCTTGCAGTGTTCCGTGAGGCGCTACGCTTTTTGGAGCTTGTAAGACTCGCTCTACGGTACATTGATCACCATTCGTCGATCCGTTGTTTCCTTGATGCCGGTCTGCCGGGCAATTTTCTTCATGGACACCACCAGATTTTGCTTCACTCGCTTTCTGATGATCTCAAGGTTGGCAGAAGTCTTCAAGATGCGCTTCCTTCTAATTCCTGGACACTTACCACCATGGCCAAGCTCGTTGAGTCGTTTGATGGCTTTTCGTATGGCAGGTTTTCCTACACCGACCAATTTAGCAATCTTTTACTGTCCTTTTTCTTTCCGTGACAGGTTTAAAATCGGGGTCCCTCTGTTTGAGACTCGAAACAAACATGTTTATTAACCGATATGGGTATGAAAATTGAGAGGCTAGGACAAAAAAACATGGAGAATTTAATGGTATGAACAATATTTTCCTAAACCTAAAAGTTTTCGCGGCAGGACCCATGAAAAAAAGTTGCATTTTTTATTTGTCACCCTGTATATAGTAAATATTTTTTTTTGTTTTTTCAGAGAACCGATAAAAATGAAGGACGGCGGAAAGTCGTTCGAAAACGACATAAAGACGGTAAAATCCACCGAGAGCAATGACGGCAACAAGACGAATATAGACGCTATCCCGTCCATTGACGATCAAAACCAGGAAGAGAATAACACGGGCGAGAAGACGGCCGAAATCCGAAGAGAAGCCGCTGAATTGAAGCCGAGGAAAGTCGTGGTATGAATATGAATTTTTATCTAAAATTTTTGTGGAAATTTTAGGCCGGGAAGACCAGAAATGTGAGGGCGAATCCGGGGGAATACCCGACCATGGCAGACGTGGCTTCGGATTGGGGCTCGGCCAAGGAGAAGAAGACCAAAACAAAGACGAAGGTGAGCATGTAGAGACGGTTGTTTTATTTTTGATTTTTTTGTTTTAAAAAAAATGCTGGGAAAGGGGGGAAAACCGTAATATTAGGGTGGCTATTTAATTTTATTTTCCAATTTTCGCGACCTGCGCCCATGGTCCACAATTTGGATTTTATTTTTAATTTTTCATTCATTTTCTAAAAAAATATTAGATGAAAATTGTAAAAAAATCGGAAATGCTAATAACTTAAATTCAGTTCGTTAAAGCTCGGGCGCAGCTTGGGAAATTTTGAAAAATGTTTTTTTTTGTTTTTTAACGATTTTAGATTCGGGCTAACTTACGTTGCTAATTAAACTTTTAACCTTTTTTAAAAAAATATTTCCAAGTTGCGCCCGAGCTTTAAATATGAATTTTGTTTGAAGCCCGGGCGCAGCTTGGGAAATTAAAAAAAAATACTTTTTTTGTTTTTTGTTTACGGTTTAAGATTCGGGATAGCATACGTTGTTAATTAAACTTTTAACTTTTTTAAAAATTATTTACAAGCTGCGCCCGAGCCTTAAATTGAATTTTTTTTGAAAGCCCGGGCGCAGCTTGGAACTTTTTAAAATATTTTTTTTGTTGTTTCTCGATCAAAAATCATAAATTTAAGGCAGGTGTTACCAACACATCAAATTTTTTTTCGAATTTACCCGAACTGCGCCCGAGCTTTGATTTTTTTATTTTTAGTTTTTTGACATTTTGAGCCTTGAAGCGTTTTTATTTTGATTTTTAGTCAAAATAAAGATCAAATTTGCTGAATTTTTTTCACAAGGAAAGTACTTTTATGGGGGCTCCTACTTTTTGACGGGACATACCTCAAAAAATCAGAAAAAATGTGCTGATCAAAGATATATAAATCCTAGCTGCCCATTTTGGGTTTTTTGGCATGTTTTGGCCGTCGAAAGTTTTGAAATATTCGCAAGAGGAAAGAATAAAAGACGATTTGAAAGGCAGGAAAACCGATGAGTGAGTGGCGCAGTTGGTTGCGCAGAAGACTGGGGTTGTGCGGAGGGGGGTTCGAGTTCCCTTTTGTGATTTTTTTTTATTTTTTGTTTTTTTGCTGTAAAATAGAAAATAAAGTTAAAAAACAATGATAGAGGCTTTTCATTTCCCGTTGGCTATTAATTAGAAGTCAAAAACGCGACTTAACGTCATCCCCTACTTCTAACGTCATCCCATTCTTACATTGTTCAATACAATACACAAACCGATCCGCCATCTCCTGTTCTTCTCTGGTAGCGGCTTTAGCGTCCCCAACACCATATTTGTCCAACAATATGGACACAACATTTTGCGGCGAAAATTCGGACATTTTATGACTGCACGTCACAGGGAAATGAGTGTTTCTTGACACCCTTCCGTGATTTTTTGGCTTCGTTTATGTTTTTAAGTCGCGTTTTTGACTTCTAATTAATAGCCAACGGGAAATGAAAAGCCTCTATCATTGTTTTTTAACTTTATTTTGTATTTTACAGCAAAAAAACAAAAAATAAAAAAAAATCACAAAAGGGAACTCGAACCCCCCTCCGCACAAACCCCAGTCTTCTGCGCAACCAACTGCGCCACTCACTCATCGGTTCCCCTGCCTTTCAAATCGTCTTTTATTCTTTCCTCTTGCGAATTTCAAAACTTTCGACGGCCAAAACATGCCAAAAAACCCAAAATGGGCAGCTAGGATTTATATATCCTTGATCAGCACATTTTTTCTGATTTTTTGAGATATGTCCCGTCAAAAAGTAGGAGCCCCCATAAAAGTACTTTCCTTGTCAGACCGGAACGTCCCCTCAGCAACCAAAAGAAGCGCCAAAGGAAGCGGGCCCACAAAAAGTTGTCAAGATTGAGGAAAAGGAGGAGAAAGTGGAAGTAAAAGATGAAAAGAAGGCAGAAACAGCCGTCAAAGGCCAAAAGAGGAAGAGCAAGGGAAGCGAGGAATTGAAGGACAGCAAATTGAAAAAGAAGAGCGTAAAAAAGAAGGTGGAAAAAGGAGGAGGAAAAGAAGGAAGAAAAGAAGGAGGAATCTCCGAAAGCAGAGGAGAAAAAATCGGATGCGAAAAGGCCGGAGGAAAAGAAGGAGGAAGCGGAGGAGAAGAAGGAGGACGATCAGCCCGATGGGAGTCCTAATGTCCCGGAAAAAAGTCCACAGCCTGTCCCAGATGAATAAATTTATTAGATTCTTCAATTTTGGCTTTTTTCACCAGATTTTTTTTGATTTTTTGCTTTAATAGCAGCTCAGACTGCGCAAAAAGTCGTTGGAATTCTTCTGCTGCCCTGCATGAAATTCTGATGACTTTTTGCGCCCACTAACATCAGTTTGTCGGGAAAATAATGTGGTTTCGTCGAGCCTCGCCCATCTGATTGCAAGAGAAAAAACTTCGATCCAACTTTGTTCCCAACTTACAGGGGAAGTACCCCAAGTTCGGCCGATCAGATTTTCTTTAAATTTTGCACACACCTCGGGCATGAACCAAATATCAATTCCCGAAAGTTTTAGCTTGCGCTTTTCCGGCGCCGCCATGATATTGAACGATCTTTGTCATCGAGAGAGTACGCAAGACGCGGAGAGCGGCCACGGAGAAATAGAATTTTTGGCAATACCTTTGTCAAGTTCGCGCGGAAAAAATTGATTTTTCGCTGGAACATTGCCCTATACAGTACAGTGAGGGACCGGATCCAATGGCAAAAAACGTCTCATTTTGCATCCCGGAAGGGACCAAAATGTCTCCAAAACCCCGCTTTGAAGAGCCCGCCTTAAAGGAAAGGCGCGCTTTTCAAAGCGGAGTTTTTTTAGCTTAGAGAAGGGGTTTGGAGTCATTTAGGTTCCTTCCGGGATGCAAAAGGAGACGTTTTTTGCCATTGGATCAGGTCCCCTTTTCCATTGGATCAGGTCCCTCACTGTACGTATATATATGAAACATGAATAATTCGTGGTAGTTCTCAAGATCTGACCAATCTTTATGCGTCATTGAATTTTTCAGTATAGGGCCCATTAAACTTTTTTTACACTACTGTAGAAATAAGCATGAAACTTTTCACGCCAAGGTTCGCAAAAAAGTTTCAACTTGTTGCCAATTTTTGAGCTAAAAATCTCGGTTGTTTCTGCAAGACGTGAACTAGGAGTTCCGTTTATGCCACTCAAAAAAACTATTCTAAATTTCTGTCAAGTTTCATTAAAATCTCAAAGTTTGACTTCGGGTACTTCCTCTGTCAAAAATTTCTGTCGTGTCCTACCAATTGCGCAATCCTTGATTTCGTTTGATTGATGATTGCGTAACAAAGGAAAACGTAATTTTCTGCGGTATACGCAGAAAATCATGATTCCCTGTGGCAGGGATATGCTTCATTCACGTGAGTGTTGAAATGTCTTCCGGTTGTGCTTTTTTTGACTCTTAAAGTTTGAGTACGGCTCACTTTTAAATCGCCCTTTTTGCAGCTCGAGATTTTTTTAAAAGATGTTTTTTAAAATTTCGATTTTCAGACACCACATTTTCAATCTGCCACATATTGCCGGTCATGAACTCGCCAAAAACTCGATATCCGTCTGATAAGGTAAGGATTTCATATATTTTTTTGCGCTATTCCAAAATTGCATAGAGTTTTTGCCGCATATCTACATAGTACAATGAAGGACCCTAGTGGCAAAAAACGTACCTTTCTGCATCCGAGAAGCATCAAAAATGTGGCAAAATGCTTCCGTCTCCTAGTGAAAAAACTTCGTCTTGAAGGGAGCGCCTTTTTTCCTCACAAAAAGAGCGGGTGCGCTTTTGAAATCGGAGTTTTTTTCACTTGGAGGGGAAAGCATTTTGCCACATTTTTGATACTTCCCGGATGCAAAATGGTACGTTTTTTGCCACTGGATCAGGTCCGCTTTAAATTCAGTCTTTTTATCAGTCTGTCGGGAAAATAATGAGGAATACGTCGCATCAAAAAGCATTATTTTCCCGACAGGCTGAGAGTTCGGTCAGCAAAGTTTGCTATACGTCTGTACGTGCAAAATGGTCAAGTAAATTTTCTTACTGTGCTAACAGACGAAGCGCTTCAAGTTTTTTTTTCGGTCGAAAGTTGGCAAAAAAGAAAAAAAAAGTTTTTTGCCAAATTTTTCATGAGTATGTTTACATAGCTTTTTTTACCGTAAAAGATGATGTTTCCACAAAAAAAAATAAAATTTTTGCACACAATACTAGCAAAGATACCACATAAAATGTTACTTTTTTCGCTATTCAAAACGTAAATTTCATTTTTCAGTTCTCCCAGAAGAAGATCAGAGAGCATCGTCGTCGCGACTCCATGAACAGAGAGCTGAATGCGATGAAGAACTTGGTGATCAGCAAATCGAATGGGAAGAATGACGGGAAAAAGCTGGAACCGGCCATGATTTTGGAGGCATTCACCGAGCTGTATATGAACACCAAGGACGAAATTGAAAAGGTCAAAAAAGGTAAGGATTTTTTATTACTATGCTTAAAAAAAAATTGAAATTTTTTCAAAATTCAAAAAATTTTTTTTTCAGAAAATGCCGAATTAGAGTCTGAATTGGGATATCAGCAATATCAACCGGAGATTAGTCCAAAAAACACCGCTGAATTCTCTGAAATCAACAACACTCCTACTACAACATCATCCGGCTCCAACGACACTGCCATTTCGAGCTCAGCTGGCGATGAAAGCGTTCTACAAGCTTCACAAATTTTCTCAGCAACAGAAGAACCCCCAAATCTTCCAATTCCCCCATTCAACATGCCAATCGACCCATTCCAGCCCATGAATTTGATGACTCAACCCAATTTCTTTCCGATTTTGCCACCTCAACTGATGGTCCAGCCAAATTTCCCGCTGCTTTATCAGTTCCAAGCTTTGCAGCAGCAAATGGCTCTTCAGAATATGATGAGCGGCCCTGCTCTTACATTTCAGACGATACCTCAGCCAACAACAAGTCAAGAGCAGCTCAACTTGTTGCTTCTTCAAAATATGCTGCAAAATTCATTGTCTCAACAGAATATTTGTAATAATGAATAAATAAATTGATAAAAATTAATTGTTTTCGTCCTGTCATCAGTCTGTCGGGAAAATAATGAGCACTCTGCTAAGTTATCGCCGCCGAGAAAATGAAATGTGCTGTGGAAAAATCAAATTGCTTTTCACTTCAGCCACGCGAATGGCGCAGCGACAGTGTACTCATTATTTTCCCGACAGACTGATAGTTTTTGAATTCACAATGCTCCAGCCGCGACGCTCGATTTTCGTTTGATTTTGAAGCAATTTCTATAATAGACCACATGTCAATTCCTAAAAATTTTAGCTTGCGTTTTGCAGGGGTATCCGAGATATTCAACGATCTTTGCGGCCGACAGAGCACACAAAATGCGGAGAGGGTTCAGAAAGAAAATACTTTGTTCAGTGGCGGACCTGATCCAGTGGGGAAAAGCGTATTATATTATACAATTTTGGATCAGGGATGCATCAAAAAACGTAGCAAAGTACCTCCCATTCCAGGTGAAAAGAGTATGCCAAAAATTGCAAAAAGAGTCAGTTTTTTTAATCAATTGAACATACAGCGCTGACAATTCAATTTTCCATTTCAAACAACCGTGGGGTGAAGTTCGGTTGGGTTCATGGCAAAACCAAATCGCAAGCGAAGGTACACAATAGCCAAGCGCCGGCGGAACCAATGTCAGACCATTCGACTTGTGAGTTTATTGCATAACTCTGTAAGGGAGGGCATATTTTCTTGCAGGAAAAAGTTCCTTATTCTGGCCGCAACAAAGGTACTCTGCGAACTGCGCCCAAGCTTGGGAACTAGAGTTAGGAAAAAAGGCTTCGACCTAGTTGGCGCAGAATTATTATAGTAGCTATATAGTTTTAAGGGTACCTACGAAGGCCATGACGCCTCACATAGTTCTACTATACGGAGGCAATAAGTTTATATAGTTCCGGAACATTGTATAGAGTGTAAAATCGCAGGCTGCAGCCGGTTTTGATGGGTAAGGGGGTACGTAAAAACGAAGCTAACTCACTAACTAAACCACTGTCCGGGCCTTGACAACGATAAATTGGGTCTGCAAGCCAAATTTGGACTAATTCTGATCAGTTTCCGCAAGGTTATAAATTGTGGCCAGAACAAGGAACTTTTCCCTTTCTTGCCTAGTTTTTTTAACGCAAAGCTTTACGCGCTGTGATGAACTGCGCCGCGAAAAAAACTCTACGAACTTTCGAAAAAGCGCAATGTATTTCCATAAAGTGCGTAGACTTTTTTGTCGTTCACCGTAAGCGCAATGCATTTTTCATTGCGGTTGTAAAGCGGTAAAGTTCGAGTGAGCCGGCGAAAAAGTGCCATTTAGGAACATTCCGTTTATCACGGCCGTTCCTTTATGATATCGTCTTAAAGATCGTTGCTTTCATCATTATGGAGCTCTTGCATCTTTTCAGAATCCCCCACCTCCAGCCGACCAGCCTCCCTTGAGCAATACCCCCTCCAAATCGAGCACGACCACTTCCACCGCCACGAGTTCCACTACCACAACCACAACTACAGAAAACACCATCACAACCACCACTACGATCACAACGATCACCACGATCACCACCATTTTTCAGACTGATTTGTAAAATAAAATTTTTGAATTTTGCTTTAGAGTTTTTGCTTCACATTCGATATTAGCATTTTCAGAAAGTTCGTGGATATTTTTTGTCTTTCGCAATGTGCATTTTGAACTGTTTTCCACGTTTGTCGCCAACGCACAGTGCATTTTCCACTTTTCGCACCGTGCAAGCCTCAAAAAAGCTGTTTGCACTGTGCAGATATTTTTTTGTCTTTCGCACAGTGCATTTTGAACTTTTTCCACGCTTGTCGCTAACGCACAGTGCAAATCCCAAAAAACCGTCTGCACTGTGCATACATTTTCATTTTTCTTCCGCACAGTGCATTTTGAACTTTTTCCCACGCTTGTCGCCAACGCACAGTGCAAACCCCCCAAAAAACCGTTTGCACTGTGCAGACATTTTCTTTTCTCTTCCGCACAGTGCATTTTGAACTTTTTCTTACGCTTGTCGCCAACGCACAGTGCATTTTCCTCTTTTCGCACCGTGCAAACCTCACAAAAGCCGTTTGCACTGTGCAAATTGCTGGCGTCGCCGCAGCGACGTAGTTGAAACTTGCTTATGTCGCAGCGATATTTCGCCGCCCAGTGCGAAAAACAAAAAGAGTGAAATGCACGGTGCACAAAAAAGCGTCTCGTGTGCACGGTGCAGAACGCGACAAATGTCCATGCACTTTATAAAAATTAATATCAGTCTGTCGGGAAAATAATGAACACACTGTGGCTGTGCAATCGCATCGCTGAAGCAAGAAGCAATTTGATTTTGGCGCGACACAATTCATTTTCTCTGCGGCAATGCGATTTTCGCTGCGACAGAATGCTCATTATTTTCCCGACAGACCGTTAATATTTACATTATCACCGCGGCGATTGTGTCATCAAAACTCTTCCGGCGTTTAATCACCATGCTCTGGATGGGGTGGTATTTGCAAATCACCAGTTAAATCGTCGTTAACACGCAAATCGCTTTTCTCGCGCCGCCGCCAAAAAAGCGATGTCGATTGATTGGCGGAGGGGTGTTTATTATTTGCTCGGTTCGTCATTGGATAAACAGCCCGCGGGCCCATAAAACGGGGCCGCGGTTTCAGTCCAGCAAATTTTATTGGCATCATGGTGATCCTGCGGACCGAGCGCGTCTTCTGCCAGTCTGGAAAGGTAAGGGAAATAAGGGATACTGTAGTTAAGAGGTAGTTTTTTTCCTCAGTCTGTCGGGAAAATAATGAGCACCGCAGCGAAAATCACAACGCTTTTGAGCAAATGAATTGTGTCGCGGCGAAATGTGATTGCTCATTATTTTCCCGACAGACTGATTAGGGGCTGGGACAAAGCAAACTTTCTTCAAATTTCTCTTTGCCCTGCTACGGGCTTCACCGTCCAGTGCGATCGCATACCACTATTGCCGACCTTCTGATCGATCGTGCAAAAAATTTGAAGACCTTCCGAAAGTTTTAGCATTGTATCAGTCTGTCGGGAAAATAACGGCGGGTCGTCGCGCTTTGGAATCGCACATCCTCGCTTTGCGACTGCAAGCCGCTGATCGGGATTTGGTGCGCGATAGCGGCGAGGCGAGACATTTTGCCGCGACAATTCGCCGTTATTTTCCCGACAGACTGATAATGAAACGGTAAAATTTTATGTCATGGCCAAAACAGTGTCCAAAAGCCTCTATCAAATACACCGTTTTCTGAGTTGGCTGATAAAATGGTGAGCTGGTGAGCTTGGGCAAAAAATCGTCCATCTTCTTCTTTATCCTTCAAAAAAAGTTTTTTGGATACCATGGCTGAACGGCAAGAAATCGGAACAAAAAATCCCGGCTCATTTCTCGGAACCTCCTGTAGAGTCTTCTTACAGAAATTTGTGGGTTATCCCAATGCGGCTGGACAGTTGCGGGCTCTACTTTTCAGTAATTGGAAAGTGGCCTGTGCACGTCAAACTGAGGAGACCGGTGACCGGAATAGTCCCTTCGCTGTCGGTTTTTTACACTTTGTCTTGATTTCACAGAGAAAGAGAGAAAAAAGACACGCAAAAACGTACTCTCTCGCCCCAAAAATTCCCCATTTCTTCCCCGACAAAACGTTTTCTCGCGTCTTTTTTTGGCAAATTGCCGTTCCATTCACCGGAATGTTTTAGCTTATCTCAGTTTGACGTGCTATGTGAAGTAACAGGACCATGTTTTGGGAAGCTGTGAATTTTCGAAAATCAATGTAAATGAAGTCTTTTTGAGCATGGTCTAGCAAAGTATACAGTAGCTTTGACCTGCCAAAAAAACATGTTTTTTCTTCAATATACGCTCTGACAATAAGCTTCCAAACTTACCGTATTTACAGGACAAATTCTCGGAATGCTTTCTCTCAATCTCCTTCGACACAACCGGCCCCAACTTCACACTCTTCAAGGACAAAGCGGCCAAAAAGCAGTTGCTGGAGACGATCGATCTCAAAAAGTCCGCGGAGCAAATTCGCTTCGGTTCGACGGCAAGACCGTACGGGAATTTGCCAATCATCAGAAAGGATAAGAGATTGGATGCCGACAATTTCATCGTGTTTCAAGTGGAAAGAATCGTTAGGAAGAGCCGTGAACCGCGTTTGGTTTGGCTATGCGCGAGCTCGGCGAAGCAAATGTTCGGAATTTTGAAGGTATTGCTACTGTCTCTGGACAAAAAGTCTTGATAATTTTGCACCGAGTAAAACTACATATTTTCAAGAATACATATCAGTCTGTCGGGAAAATAACGAGCACTCTGTCGTATTGAAAATCGCTGAGAAAAATGAATTGTATTGCGACAAAGTCAAATTGCTTTTTATGATATTTCAGCCATTGGAACATCGAATTATGCTCATTATTTTCCCGACAGACAAAATCTAAATTTTCCAGATCTTTGCCACCTGCCTGACCTATCTCAGCATCCCAGCGCCGGAGCGCAACGTCGACGTCGACGACCCCAACTCCTTGGCCAAATACAAGCCGCATTTGTTGAACCCGGCCAACAACTGGGAGAGGTTTTGGGAAAACCCGCCGCCCGCAAGACTCCTGACGGCACTTGAGCTGGCCAGAGCGATGACTAAGTAAGCTATCAATGCGATTTGCAAATATTTATAAAATCTGGCGCTTCAGGAGCTTGGACGCTGTTCATCGAGTCGAGAAGGTCGTAGTTGACAACCGCGACGACAGGAAGAAGATTCAGAAGACAACGATCAGAGAGGCGCAAGCCCAGCCACCAAGGGCGTCTTCATGGAAGAGAGGATCGACAAGTAGTGGTGGAACAACTAGCAAGTAAGGATTTTAAGATTTTCTTTACAGGGGAAGTGCCTCAAGTGCGTCGTTGAGATCTTCATGAAAATTGGCGCAAATTTCGACTAATTTCTTTTGAAGCATACCCCTCCTCGCAACTGTCAAATTTATGGCCAAAAAACGTTTTTTTACCGACCTGTCTTCCCAGCACGGCATTCTGAACTTTTGGGACACAACCGATCTCCGATACAACCGATTTTTCATTTTTTTTTCGGAATGCGTTTGCTTTCTCTGTCTATATCTCGCTAGCCGTTTGCGCTAGAAGGCTAAAATTTGGCATGAATGTAGAGTAAACAGTCGTCTTTCAGAAAATATAAATATTGTAAGGAAACCCGCAACATAAACTTCGCAATGACAACTGAAAAAAATTTCATTTTAAATTAATGAATTATCATTAACTTCTTTTCGCAACCCAAAAATGCAGTTGCGCGATCGTATTGACAATTTTTCTGTCCATGACGCTTGCAAAACTCGACAAAAATTTTCATGAACGCCGAGCTCTGTAAAACTGTCTAAAATTTTCTCAATTCAATTTGCAGCGTATTACGGCACACAGGTTAGTCTGCGGAGCATCTAGCTGACTAGTGAGCAAGAACTAGATACAGTGAGGGACCGGATCCAGTGGCAAAAAACGTCCCACTTTGCATCCCGGAAGGGACCAAAACGTCTCCAAACCATTCAAGCTAAAAAACTCCGCTTTGAAAACCGCGCCCTTTCCTTCAAGGCGGGCTTTTCAAAGCGGAGTTTTTTTAGCTTAGAGAAGGGAAGGGTTTGGAGACGTTCTTTGCCACTAGATCTTGTGAGATCCAACCCTTCTTTTTTTTCACTCTGTCCGGAAAATAATGAGCAGAGTGTCGCTGTGCCGATCGTGTCGCGGAAGTGAAAAGCAATTTGATTTTGTCCCGGCACAATTCATTTTTCCGGCAGCGATGTTTCGTTGGACAGAGTGTTCATTCTTTTCCCGACAGACTGATAGAAACCCTGATGATTCTTATTTCAGGACCTCATCCAGCGCCTTCATCCCAGTCCACCCGCTTCGGCGGATGTCAGACTTGCCCAAGCGTCCATTCAACGTCGTAAAACCGCACAAATACGAGAAGAATGAAGCCGCCAACTCCTCACCCCCGCTTCTGCGTCAAAAACCAACATTGCAGAAGGTGCGGTGTCTATAAAGCATGATATAGACTTGTCTATCGACGTGTGACTCAACGTCTAGCCCTCTAGTGTCATTACTAGTATTTTCATAAAGTGCGTGGACTTTTTGTCGAATGGGGGAAAACTGCCATTTTGCACAGTGCAGCTCACTTTTTTGCAAGTTTTCGCACTGTGCATAAACGAGAAAAAATGTCTACGCACTTTCTGAAAATACTATTTTTAGTTTGTCGGGAAAATAATGAGCACTCTGTAGCTCTGAAAATCGCTTAAAATGAATCTCGGCGGCAAAAAATTAGATTACTTTTCACTTCAGCTACACAAATTGGCGCAGCAACATTTTGCTCATTATTTTCCCGACAGGCTGATAGTTGATATTCGATTTTCCGCAGCTTGTAGCGCACCTAAAATACCCTCAATTTTTCAGCGCATATCCGAAGGTCGCGTGGAGGTCTCTCCGTTGAAATCAGCGCCCGACGCCCACATGACCACCGAACCGGAGGAAGTGAATTACATCTACTATGTGCCACGAGCATGTCATTGCTTCGATCAGGTCCAACCGACCGCCGTAACCGCTCCGAAACGCCCGCTTTCTTCGTATTCGTCGGCTTATGGGAGTGCTCCGCAGACGCCCACCCACTTGCAGCCGGATCGCCCCATCTTGGACAACCCCGAGCTGCTGCGTCGCATGTCCGAGCTGAGTCTTCGGCCGGTCCCCAAACGCCCAAGGACTTTCAGCAGCTACGGTCCGTATGGTCGTCGGATCTACGATGAGAGAGAGCCACGGCGCTACGATGAACACGAGCAGAATATAACGCTGCCGAATGAAGAGAGCGACGATGTGGAGGTCAGTGTCAGTGAGATGGAGCAGCGGGTTGTGATCATGATCAGTCGCGGGATTCAGACCGACCATGATCTGCCCGAGCCCCCGACCCCGTTGATTGACGACTACGGCTACGCGCAGGTGAAGCGATACGAACCGGAGAACGTGAGGGATGGCAGGTTCAGTCGCATGTCAATGGCCAGTCTGCGAAGCGTTTATTTGCGGTAGGTTTTGAAGCAATAGCATTTTGCATCATGGAAGTATCAAAAATTTAACAAAAAAAAAATCCCTCTCAAGGTGAAAAACTGCGATTTCAAAAGCGTTCCCGCTCTTTTACTAGTCCTTCCGTAAAGTCGCTGGAATGATTTCGGCGACGCGCACTGTGCAAGAAAACTCAGGGTGCGAGCGACAGCTCGAAAAAGCCTATTGCACAGTGCAAAAAGCCAAAAATTACACAGTGCAAAGTGAACTTTCGGTTTCGCGGGGTGCATGTCGCCGAAAACATTCCAGCGACTTTACGAACGGACTAGTATCAGTCTGTCGGGAAAATAACGGCGGATTGTCGCGGCAAAATATCTCGCCTCGCCGCTATCACGCACCAAATCCCCAGCCGCGGCTTTCAGTCGCAGAGCGATGACGATGGGGGATTCCAAGGCGCTACGATCCTCCGTTATTCTCTCAACAGACTGAAAGTGATGAAAGGGCGTGCAGTTCAAAACGGAGTTTTTTCACTTGGAGAGGGAAGCATTTTTGCCGCATTTTTAATGCCTCCCGGATGCAAAATGGCACGTTTATTGCCAGTGGAACGGGTCCGAGAAGATGCGGTTGAAATTCAAGGGGGAAAAACTCTTCAATTTTCTTGCAAATGTGGGCCGCAGAAATCTGTCTTAACCGGTAAAAAAATTGCATTGCTTCTCAAAAAGAGTCTATCAACCTGTCGGAAAAATAATGCGAATTAGTACCTTGGAGCCGCCCATCACCGCTAAGCTACCAGTAGCCGCGGCTGGAGACTTCGTGCGCGGCCGCGACAAAGCGTGAAATTTTGCCCCAAAAAATCCACATTATCTTCCCGACAGACTGATATGATAGTAATATTGATTGTGCTGCTTTTCAAAAACAATATATCCCTTTTTCAGTCATCTTGAGACCGACGACATCTCCACAGCCGACCCTCTCATTCAATATGGCCAGCCGCTGATCAGCAGCAAGGAGCCGGAGCTCCGAACCTACACTGTTGAGATCACGCAAGCCAGCCAATTTTAAACTCACAGAAACCGCTTTCAAATTGGGCTTTTTGAACTTAAAATCATCGTATCTGCAGCTCAGTAATATTGAATAAACCTTGAATTTTTTATGTTACTCTTTGTAAACGTATGTCGTAAGAAAAGTAAAAGTTTTATTAAAAGAAAAACTGAAAGATGAATGGAAGAGATAGAGATCGCGTTGTACGGAGGGATCAGATGGCGTTGTGGAGTGTTCCGGATGGGGGCGTCTGAATATGTGAAGAGGATGAGGAGGTCATTGAGCGATTTAGAACAACATTGGCTGACTCGACGGCTTCCGGCTGCTGGTGTCGCGCCGCGACAACCCCGAGGTCTTGTGGATGGACGAGCGACGACGCGATTCTAAAATATCTGGAGTTGAGTGGAGCGAATTAAAAAATCATCGGAAAAAAGGTTATTATAAGTCTGTCGGGAAAATAATGAGCACTCTGTAGCATCGAAGGCGCCGAGAAAATGAACTCTGTCGGCAAAATAAAAATGCTTTTCATTTCAGCAACGCGATTGGCGCAGCGATGTTGTGCTCATTATTTTCCCGACAGACTGTACTAGGCTTTTCAAAAGTGACTCCAAAAAGAAAGATTAATGACATCTTGCGGGCTCTCTACTTTTTTTGAAGACTTTTTTTGGTTAAGAGAGCAGGGAATGGTGGGAGTTTCGGGGAGAGAAAATCTACTGTCTTTGTTCTTGCCAAAGGGGATTAGCCCTATTTATTGTTAGCTCGCCAGTTGGATATTGCGAATTAAATTTCTAGGTTTATAAGTGGCTTGAATAGTAAAAATAAGGTTAACCAGGCACTTCTAAAAGTTCAAAAAACCCTTGTTTTAACAAGGAAAGTACTTTTATGGGGGCTCCTACTTTTTGACGGGACATATCTCAAAAAATCAAAAAAAATGTGCTGATCAAGGATATATAAATCTTAGCTGCCCATTTTAGGTTTTTATGGGTGAAAATGCCCAAAAACTGGCTCAATTTCCCTACAAAAGGCGCAGGCATTCGAAACGATAAAAAGCGCAGTCGGTCTCTTCCTTCGGAAGAGAGCGGTGTGGCCGAGTGGTTAGTGCCGTAGTCTGGGAATCAAGAGGGGGAACGCCGGACGGGTTCGATTTCCCTTTTGGGCTAAATTAGCTTTTTTTGAAGTTGAAGGTCGGAAAAATAAATTTTTGGGCCAAGACTGATTTATTACGTCTTAGAAACTCATTAAACATCATTTTAAGCCAAAATAAAAATTGTAAACCTGTGAAAAATTAAGCGAAAAGGGGTTCATATAGGACCTAAAGTCAACTTCCGATTGAGTTTTCACCCCTAAAAACCTAAAATGGGCAGCTAAGATTTATATATCCTTGATCAGCACATTTTTTCTGATTTTTTGAGATATGTCCCGTCAAAAAGTAGGAGCCCCCATAAAAGTACTTTCCTTGTAAAACAAACTCCTATAAATTTGAAAACGGTGGATGAACTCAATAGTCTTGTGTATCTGTATCAGACAGTTGCCATTGTAAAATTTCGACCTCACTACGTATATTATGGTAGAAAAAGGGTTGAGTGGGGGACTTGATCCATTGGCCAAAAACGTGCCATTTTGTATCCGGGAAGTATCAAAAATGCAGCAAAATACCTCCCTCTGCAAGTGGAAAACTACAATTTCAAAAAGCGCGCTCACTCTTTTTTGTGAGGGAATGGGCGCGCAGTTCAAAAAGGATTTTTTTTAGTTGGAAAGGGAGGCATTTTGCCACATTTTTGATACTTCCCGGATGCAAAATGACACTTCTTTTTGCCTCTGGATCAAGTCACTCACTGTAATTCTAATTCGTAATTCTAAATGTCAGTTGCCCGCAACCTGGAGTCACGACGGCCGAGAAAAAAAAGAAATCCGCCTAAATTTGAGCCAAATTTCATCAAAATCTGACTGTCGCACTTCAGGTACTCCCTGGTTATGACTTGAGAAATTTCAGTCTCAAATTTTGCCGTTTCATTAATAAACACACTTTTTCATCACCTACCCCATCAATAAACACACCTTTTCATCACCAACCCCACCCCCACTACACTTCCCAAAATTCTTACCCATTTTCTCGTGCACCTTCTTCTGAGCCAGCCCGAACAGCCGTTTGCGGAAGTGCTTGGAGAAGAGGCAGAAGATGATGAAGTTGCTGGCCTTGCCCACCACCACCAACGAGTTGGCGAACACGCCGGCGTTGTACCACCACGTGGGCTTGGCGTTCGTGTCGCTGACGAGGTCGAAGAAGCTCACCACGCCCGAGGGCCCGTTGGTGAACGTGAAGAGGGTGACGATTAGGGTTACGGTGAGTGTAACGCGTTGCTCGGTCTTGTGATGCTTTTGGTTGTTCACGCAGGGCCTGAAAACAGATGTAGCCTGTGTTCTAAGAAGGGTACTGTAATTTGAAGGCGGATTAGGTGATTTGGAGGGGATTTAGAGACATTTGTAACGGTTTTAAGGCAGTAGCAGGTCAGTCTTGACATTTTTTGGGGCTCTTTGCGATTTTTCTGGTATTTCTCATTAAAAAAGTCTAGTATCAAACCGTATTGGTGATATTTAGGATTAACATTGTCCTGTAAACCAATTTTAGTTCAATTCCTACCCCTTCTGAACCCATTTCTGGATACTTTTTGATACTTTCCCCCCGACTTCTCCCCGATTTCCCTCCCTTACTTTGTAGTGATGTCGTCCTGGATCAGCGACATTTCGGAAGAGCGTTGTCGCAACGCGCACAACAGCAGAATGTTCAACGTGGCCAACAGAATAATCGGACACATCACGATGAAGACGGTGTTCGTCAGGATGGACATCCGGATGAACTTGCGATACGCGTAGGAGAAGGTGTTTTGGAACATGTGCGACTGCCAGACGCTGAAAAAAAAAATCGACTTGATTTATGGAGAAGAATGGCTTTCGGAGATCTTACAGAGTTTTTGAGATTTTTTAAAGTTTATGGAGAAAAAACGTGAAATTTTATGCAATGGTTTTTTTAGGTATGGAAAACGTGAATTCAAAAAATATTTTTTTTGTCCAAATTTTGAAAATATAAAATTTTTTGAACATTATGGACAAAAAACGTCAAAATTTATGCATTCAAAAAATTTATGGAGAAAAAACGTAATTTTCTAAAAAATAATTTTTTGTCCAATTTTTGAAAATTTGAGATTTTCTGGGGCCTGTTTCACTAACATAAAAATAAATAAAAGAGAAGTAGGGGGGAGCGAGAGAGCATCGAAAACGCGTTTGCGAGCGAGAGAAACCGGACGAAAAGCAGAAGTAGCCTACTTTTGCGGGAGTGACTTTTTACGTCCAAAACCGCGGTTCGCGGCAGTATTTTGGCCATAACTTTTTTCTCAGTTGGTCTAGGAACACCCTTCAAAATTTAGAATGAAGATGACAGTTTCAGCTATCACCAAGATTATTTTCATTGCTGTGGTGCCAAAACCCGTCCTTAAAAAAATCGTAAAGTACGCGTGCTTTCATTTTTGAGAAAATCGACTAAATTTTAGCTTAAAATCGCCATAACTTGGGTAAAACTTTTCGGATTGAAACCCTCCAAAAAACAACACATAGAATTTTTTAAGTAGTTTTAGACAATATGTGTTTTGAATTCCTTTTATAGCCCGGTGGACCGCTAATTTTACAGTAGTACGGCCAACCATCTCGTTTTTTCTTCTTCGCGGAATAAAAACGTATTTTTCTCACCAATGTTTATAAGAATAATTACAAGTTTCATATCAGTGTGTAGAGCCGTTTCTTAGCTACATTATGTTTTTTGAGGGGTGGCGATATATCATAAACTGATAGAGTTACGGGCAATTAAATCTAGGTAACCTCCATTTTTGACCATAAAAAGTCGTTCCGAAAGGGGCGAACTTTTCCTCTTCCTTTGATTTGAGGGCTCTTTTTATGACAAAAATGGAGGTAAATTTGCCATAACTCAGCCATAATAAGACCTACAATTGACCCTCTAAAAAAACCTCATGGAAAAAAAGATGGGCTATCGACTGGTATAAATTAAAGCGTCAACATTTTGAAATTGACCGAGAAATAAAACATTTCGTATCTTCAGTGTAAATGTACTCTGTACTTTAAGCTATATAACTAATCTACTCTTGAAAATAAAACAATGAAATTTGGATATGTTGTAGTCTCAACCGTCAGCTTTATTTGGTTTTTTGAAGGGTGTTCCAATACCAATTGAGAAAAAAGTTATGGCCAAAATTATGCCGCCAACCCCGGTTTTGGACGCAAAAAGTCACTCCGAAAGAGAAGTAGGCTACTTCTGCTTTTCGTCCGGTTTCTCTTGATCGCAAACGCGTTTTCGATACTCTCTCGCTCCCCCCTACTTTTCATTTTATTTATTTTTATGTTAGTGAAACAGGCCCCTGAACATTATGGACAAAAAACGTTAAAATTTATGCATTAAAAATCTTTATGGAGAAAAAACGTATGATTCAAAAAAAATTATTTTTTGTCGAAATTTTGAAAATTTACATTTTTTGAACATTATGGACAAAACACGTCAAAACTTATGCAAAAAAATTGTGGAGAAAAAACGTATTTTTTTAATAAAAAAACTTACTCATGAGTGATTGGGAAGCATTTCGAGTACACCTGCGTATCGTAACACAAATTATTCACCGGACAATAATGCTCGAAATGCCGGAACAAGGTCAGCAAAAACGGCGCCACCACAATCAGCGCCAGAATCAACATCATCTTGTACGACGCCACATGGCTTCGTATATACAACGGTTTGCGAATCCCAATCAGTCGGTCCGCACACACCGCGATCACCACCCAGATCGCGACGGCCGACATCCAGTTCGCCAGCGCCAGCCAATGGATCTTGGTGTGGAAGTAGAACCAGCGGAAGTAGTAGTTCACGTAGAGGAAGTGGAAGGTGGCGAGGACGTGTGGCGTCAGGAAGACGAGGAATGCAATGTCCGAGATGGCCAACAGCGAGAGGAAGGTGTTGGCGCTGAAATTGGCATATGAATTATCAACTAATAGACAGGGAAAATAACGAGGATTTTTTATAAGATTGTCGGGAAAATAATGAGCATAATGTTGCTGCGACCATCGCGTCTGAAGTGAGAGCGGTTGAGCGTGAACTCTTCCCCTTTTTCAATTCTCCCCCAAAAAATCTGGACTCTCCCCTTTTTTGAACACTCCCCCATTTGAAAATTGAAAAAACGAGGTGTGACATGTTATACGATGAAACTTTTTTCGAATTGAAAAAAACGATTTTTCAAATTTTCTATCGTATAAGATGTCACACCTCATTTTCTCAATTTGAAAAAAAGTTTCATCATATAACATGTCACACCTCATTTTTTTCAATTTTCAAAATGAGGGGAAGTGTTCAAAAAGGAGGAGGGTTCACTCAAGGGGGAGTGTTCGAAAAGGGGGAGAGTTCAAATTGGGGGAAGGTTCAGAAAAGGGGGAGAGTTCTGCGGCAACGAGTGAAAGCAATTTGATCTTGCCGCGAAACAGTTCATTTTCTCCGCAGCGATGCGATTTTTGCTGCGACAAATACTCATTACTTCCCCGACAAACTGATAAATTTACAAGGGAAGTGCGTCAAGCGCGACGCCCGGATTTTCTTCAAATTTTCCACAGGTGTGTTGGAGGTATTAAATATCAATTCTTGAAATTATTAACTCTCCATTTACAGGGGCAACCGAGATATTCAACGATCATTGAGGCTGAGAGACCATGCGAAATGAGGAGAACGGTCAGAGAAAAGACACTCTTTGGCGATGTCTTTGCCAGTTTCGTGCGGAAAAATTGATTTTTTATGGAAAAATAGCCCTTGCTGATGAAAATCTCAGTCTGTCGGAAAAATAATGTGGTTTTGTCGCGCCGTAAAATTGCTCTTGTTTTTTGCTTTGCGACGGCTAACCGAGGCTAGCGACTTGGCAGGCGACTGCGACGAAACAAGAATTTCTCTCGCGACAGATCCACATTATTTTCCCGACAAATTGATATCAAAATTTCATTTTTTCCGAAAATCATCAAAATTTCACTTTTATCGCCATTACTCTGCACTCACCGACTTCTCATCCGTTTGTTCAGCAGCACCGTCAAGTTCAGCGCATTTCCCAGTATTCCGAACACAATGAGGCAGGGAAACAGGTAGAGTTGGACGTATTTTTCGAGATCATTCCGATGCAGTTGCATCTGCTTGTCGTCCAAACATTTCCCCCACAACTGTTGAAAGGGGTCGCGAACTGTCGCTGATATCGTCAGATTTACGTTTTGTTGCATTCTGTAAACAGCGGAGGGTAAAAATTATTCGTATTTTTATAAAGTTCGCGGAAATGAACAAATTTCTCGCGCCAAGCATTGTGCAAAAAATCCGCCATGTTGCACCGTGCATCTCACTTTTTTTTTTCAGTTTCGCACAGTGCACTTTGAACTTTTTCCCACACTTGTCGCTCCCGCACAGTGCATTTTCAAATCGCTTTTTTTTGCACAGTGCATTTTGAAACTTTTCCCACTTTTTGCACTGTGCAAATTTCAAAACAGCCGTTTGCACTGTGCCGAGAACTTTTTTGCTTTTGCACAGTGCATTTTGAACTCTTTCCCACGCTTGTCGCTCACGCACAGTGCATTTTCAAATCGCTTTCTTTGCACAGTGCATTTTGAAACTTTTCCCACTTTTTGCACAGTGCAAACCTCAAAAAGGGTTGTTTGCACTGTGCAGACATTTTTTTTTACTTTCGCACAGTGCACTTTGAACTTTTTCCCACGCTTGTCGCCAACGCACAGTGCATTTCTCTTTTTTTGCACTGTGCAAACCTCAAAAAGGTTGTTTGCACTGTGCCGATATCTTTTTTGCTTTTGCACAGTGCATTCGGAACATTTTCCCACGCTTGTCGCTCACGCACAGTGCATTTCTCTCTTTTCAAAATGCACAGTGCAAAAAAAACAAAAGGAAAAAGTGAAACGCACGGTGCAAAAAATCGAGGAATTTTTTGCGCACGGTGCAAAAAATCGAGGAATTTTTTGCGCACGGTGCAAAAAACCCTCTCTGCACTGTGCAGATTCCAGCGACGCAGATGAAACTCGTTTATGTCGTGCAAAAAAAAGTGAAAAAAGAAAAAAGTGAAATGCACGGTGCAAAAAATCAGTGATTTTTTTGCACAGTGCAGAGTGCAAAAATATCCGTGCACCTTATGAAAATGCTGGAAGAAAGGAATTTAGCGGAACAAGATCATGTGGATGGGCTGTAAAAATAGCTCGATAATCCGTCATCATTCATTTTACGAGCGAACGATCAAATGGGATTTTTTTGCAAAGGGAGAAATCGCGGATAAACGGTAAATATGTGGGAGGATTGTAAATATAATAAATTAAAATAAATTTTGAGAAATATGTGAAAAAAAGTGTGAGGCAAGGGCAAAGTCTCGAAGGTAAATTTATCGCGAATCCAGAAAGAATTAAACTTCAGGCTGCCTTTAAAACTGACTGAAGACGTGAAATGCTTGCCGATTTTGATAAAACAAGGGATAAATTTAGATAAGTGCATTTGAAGGCCGAGTTGGTTAGAATGAACCCCTTTTAGTCTAGACAATACTAGTTGCGCATAAAGTCCAAAGATTTTTGTGGCGACGTCGCGGGGTGCGCTCACAGAAAAGTTCATGTCGCTAGGGCAAAAATGTTGCAAATTCTATGGACTTTATGGCGCGTCTAGTACTACACGGTGAAAAAACGCGCAAAACTTCCTAAGAATCGGACTGCGACAAATGTCCAGGCACTTTGTGAAAATGATCATAGTATCAATTCCCGAGAATTTTAGCTCCCGCTTTGCAGGGGAGAGCGACCGGGAGACACGAAATGCTGAGAGCGGAACGCGTTCTGAGGCATCAAAAGTAAGAAATACCATTCTTTAAATCATTTTTCCCGACCTTTGTAAGCCGTTAAAATCCTTAAAATTTGCATAAGCTTAGAGAGTGACATGTGTTCTATCGCTTTGATATTTTCCGCACTTTATTACGCCATTCTAGCTGTAGAAAAATCATTACAAAAAAATTGATTTTTTGACACCGGATTTTGCTCACAAAAAAGTATATATCTATGTCTTTCGAGCTAGAAATCTTGCATATGTCTTAAAAAAAATTATTCCAAATTTGTTCCAATTCTCATCAAAATCCGAGCGTCTCACTTTGGCCCCAAGCTTGGGTCAATCCCTGGTGTAATAAACCACCCTTTATATACCAAATCCACCCACCGTAAAGACTACAAATGAAGCCAAAATCAAAGCTCAAGTATAATACAATTTCAGCGACAAACTCCGCATACAATTCTGTAAATTTTGTGCAAAACACTTGCAATCCAATCTCCACATGTAGCCGGCTATGGTAGCTGAACAACAAGGCTACGTGCCGCCTCGACTGCGGCGCAATTACATCAGCGGAAAGCCGGAACTGGCGGACCCACTCAAATTGCGAAGCCGGACGCCCCGAATCGCTCGGAATACAATTACAAATACAATTAGAAACACTCGGGAAATTGGGCGGCCAATTCCCCCAAACACTAATTAATGAAAGCTCCGGGAATCAGGAGGGGTTTTGGCTGGAAAAAGTTGGACGCAATCGGGAAAAAAAGGATGGGAAAAAATGAATCAACCGCCAATGAAGGAGACGTTGCATTAATATGGTCTCCGAGAACTTGTTAGCAAGAAAACAAATGGTTGAACAACGCCGTGGAAGAATGGCGACCCTTTTTAATAACTTTAAAGAAGTAATTTCATCATATCGGCGTGTCTGGAGGCGCCGCGACACTTGCAATCACTTTGCGGGCAGCCGACATTTTTTGAATGGAATTACGATTTCCCTCCCGTAATCTACGAAGTACGATAGAAATTTTACTGTGACAACTCCCTGGTACTAATAAGTAGACAAATCTATTAAATTCATCCACTGCTTTCGAAGTTATGGAGGTTTGTTTTCAAAAAATGGTAAAAAATGCCGGGATAAGCTGATGATAACTATTCAAGCCTCTTACACACCTAGAAACTTAATCCGAAACATCTAATCGTCAAGCCCATCGTTTGAATTTACAGTTGTATGCAAATGTTGGCTGATTTCAAAACATGTCCGCAGAATCTCCGTGGTTTTTCAAGCTGTCCGCAAAGTGGTTGCCCGCAAGTGTGGGCGCGCCTGTCTGGAAAATAGTCGCAGCAAAATGTTCCATCTGATCGAAAAAAGGGGCAGTATGCCACAAAATTTCCAGCTGCGGCTGAAAATTGCAAAACAATGATGGGCGATTCCAATGCGCGACGAATCCACATTATTTTCCCAACAGATTAATGATAGTCGCGCAATGATGTCCCGACAGTGAACTGGCTCGAAATTGCATGTCGCTAGCGCAAAAACGGGAAGTCGCAACGCCACGGGCGAAAAAATAGACAACAAACTACTAGTCCGTTCGTAAAGTCGCTGGAATGATTTCGGCGACGCGCACTGTGCACGAAAACTCAGGGTGCGAGCGACAGCCCAAAAAAGCCTATTGCACTGTGCAAAAAGCCAAAAATTGCACAGTGCAAAGTGAACTTTCGGTTTCGCGGAGTGCATGTCGCCGAAAACATTCCAGCGACTTTACGAACGGACTAGTATCAATCTGTCGGGAAAATGACGGCGGTTCGTCGCAGCAAAATGTCTCGTCTCGCCGCTATCGCGCACCAACTCCCAAGCCGCGGCTTGCAGCGATAATGGGCGATTCCGAGGCGCGACGATCCGCCGTTATTTTCCCGACAGACTGATATTGGGTGGACCTTTTCCGCCCCTGGGCCGGGAAAACCCGGGGGCCCCGGCCTGCTCCAAATCGGCCCCAATGATTAAAATTCTGAGTCTCAAAGCGACAATAGTGTTGCGAATAAAAATAAAACCCGGAGACAAGAAAAGAATGGGATTTTTAGGTATTATAATACTGTATATATAACACATATTATAATACTGTAGGCAAGGGTTGACAATTTTTTGTATTCAAAATTTATTGCTCATTCCTATATGTAACAAATAAATATGTCACACCTCGCAATGAATGCAGTATACATAAATATTTACGGCTCGGCCCAAGCGATTTTGAAGCAGGCATTCTTTGACCAAAATCTCGGTCAAAGAACCTCAGCAGTGTACCGGGAAAACCTCAGAACATTCCGTACATTCGCTGCCCCACCTATTTATGTAAATATCCGCCGCTTCCCCGAAATGACAGTTTACACTGCCGTAATTACGGCAGAACTGCCAAAAAAAGACTCCCCAAAGCGACCCGGACATTGGAGGGGTTGCAACTTTCAAAACAAACTAATGAACGGCATATTGACTGTCAACTGCACGTGCCAAGCGCTCAACAAAAGCGAGCGCCCGAAACAACAACTGGCCCGTGTTGAAAGCGCTTGAGCTTTGACACATTAAACAGGCGATTAATTGGACAAAGAAGGGTTGAAAGTATCGAAATTCAATAGTTTGAAAAATATTGGAGTTCAAAAAAATATTCAACCACGCTTTTCATAAAGTGCATGGACATTTGTCGCCAACACTTTTCCGCGACAAATGTCCATTCCGCACAGTGCAAGAATTTTTGTTGCAACGCATTGTGGTTTTTTGCCTTTGCGCACCGTGCAAACCTCAAAGAAGACGATTGCACTGTGCAAAAAAACTGATTTGAAAATGCACTGTGCGTTGGCGACAAGCCTGGGAAAAGGCTCAAAAAGCACTGTACGAAAGCAAAGAAATGTCTGCACAGTGCGAACTGCTTTTTTTTTGAAGTTTGCACTGTGCGAAAAAAGCAACGGACATTTTTCGCGCCCCGCACCGTGCACTTAAATTTTTTTGGTTTCCAAACTGTGCGGCGACAGCGCCTGAAATTTGCACAGTGCAAACGGCTTTTTTTAAGGCTTGCACTGTGCAAAAAAAAAGTGATTTGAAAATGCACTGTGCGTTGGCGACAAGCGTGGGAAAAGGCTCAAAAAGCACTGTGCGAAAGCAAAGAAATGTCTGCACAGTGCGAACTGGTTTTTTTGAAGTTTGCACTGTGCAAAAAAAAGTGATGGACATTTGTCGCGCCGCGCACCGTGCATGAGAACTCATCTTTCGTGCACCGTGCATTTCAATTTTTTTTTGGTTTTCGCACTGTGCGGCGAAATATCGCTGCGACTGCGCCAGGAATTTGCA